TTTCTCTGACTAACTAATTTCACTTAGCATAATGCCCTTAGTTTCACTTCTGATAACATTGTCTGATCGTAATTACCATTAAGATATTAGTTTTAAGCATTTGAAGATCAGAATTGGCTTAGTGGTCAATTTGCTGTCTCCGTGCTGCTAATGATAAGTGATTTCTAAGCACCGTTTCAAACCTGGACAAATAAACTGTCATGGACTAGTATTTGAGAGTTGGTAAATCCTTATAATGAATTATTGTTTATCTTATAAATTCAGTATCACTTCTTTTTATACGTTCACCAAGCATGTCCCCTACCTATACATCCTGTAGGAAACTTAATAGGGAATACAGAGACAGTTGAATCCTGGGAATATGGAGTCTCAGGAAGGCCAAGGATAGGAATGCAACTGAGCTTCAAGGAAGTTGTGTGGAAGTAGGAGCTGGAAAACCCCAGAGAATCCATGTATCAGATATTTTCTGTTTCCTGTCTCTGCTTCACTGTGTATCTTTAAAAATCTTTCCTCTCTTTTGCTGACTGGCTCATGTGCTGCTCAGTTCACATGATGGAACATGGTCTGAGTTTATTTGCTTTAGTGGTCAAGCTGCAGGGAGAGAGATCTCTTCTTATTCTCAAGTCCAGATTCCTGGAGCAGGGACCAAGACCTGGTTTGGGTTAGATACTGACCCCTGGTCAGGTCTGGGGCAGGGTTACAAAGTGGCTGCAGGGGACCAACTCTGCCTGTGTGTGTGTGTGCACACGTGTGTGATGAGCTCAGTGTACCCTCCAAAAGGTATGCACTGCATTCTTCTAGGTGTATAGCAAGAGCAATAGCATCGTTAGATTACTGTCATGTCTCATCTCAGAAAATCATGAGGAGGGAAGATAAGAGTTGCTTGAGTCCTAACCTTGTTAGGAAAAAGAACCCTGTTGCAACTAAGGTATTTTGATGTATTGTTTTATTTTCTTTGTAACAGGTTAGCGGTTACTTGGATGATTGTACCTGTGATGTTGAAACCATTGATAGATTTAATAACTACAGGCTTTTCCCAAGACTACAAAAACTTCTTGAAAGCGACTACTTTAGATATTACAAGGTATTTTTATTTTTAATTTTTTTGTATAAGAATACTTAAAGTTTAAATGGATAATTGTATTTTCTTAGGAATTCCTGAACTTCAAAATTGTGGCCATTATTTAAAATTCAGTTCACAAGAGTGAACAGTGTGGTTCTGAAACCATCCATTAGATACTTTCAATTTCAACAACTGGGTTTTGCACTCTGGAGTTAGAAACTTGTTGGTTAACTTGAAGTCAGAACAGAAACTATTATATTGTTACCAAAATTGCAATGCATACTTTCCCCAAATACTGGCTTGACTCCAGTTAATTAAAATAACTACATTTTTTTGAGAAGCGTGACTTTGTTCTGACCTGTATTATTTTAACTAGTCACTGTTGATATTTTATCTTGAGATATCTACTTAAAGCGTTTAGAATATCTGATCATTGGAATATGTAGTTATCGAATGAGTTCAATAGTTGCCTGTTACTGGCTTAAAAAAAGTATCAGCGGGGCGCCTGGGTGGCGCAGTCGGTTAAGCGTCCGAC